CCATTCTCTCTCTACACCTCCCTATCTCCTTATTTTGAATTTATATCTTCTATTAATGATACCATTATTCTATGATTTATCTAGGTTTAAAACCAGTGTCCTGCATCTAACTGGCATTCAAGAAATATTTCTCATTAACATAAATGATAACCTACACTACAAAAATATTGTGAACATATAAATAGGAAAAACTCTTACCATTCTAGAAGCAACTCTTCATTCTGAAAATTAGAAGGAAATTAAGCCACTCTGACAGAGCTACTAATATCTCTTCCACGGCAGTGATTCCCCATCTCTTTTCTGTCCCAAAAGACCTAAGGACTTTTTCTGAGCAATAATGGATCACTAAAATGACAGTGATTGTGAGCTGAAGGGGGTGGGAAAACCCATATTAGATATCAAAGATGCTCTGGGCTTGTGATATTACCCTACTGAAAACACTGCTTTATGCTATCAACAATATCAATAAAGAAATGGACTCATAATAAAGACTGTGTCTGATTCATAGCAGTCATTGGTGAGCTATAAGTATTCAAAGTAATGGTTAAAATTAAAGGTGTATCCTTCAGTTACGGGTTGTAAACATAAATATATTCATTACAAATATCTTTGAAATTTACTGCAATGAACTGAGATGCTTATAACAATAAATTATCAATAAACATTAAGTTAAACAAAGGTCAGAAATTTAGGAATGGAGGCTATTTGGAGAATCCTATTCAGACTTGTTGACTGAATCAACTTTAAGAAGTGGATAGTAAAGTAATTTAGAGGGCCTTAACTGTTGTAAAAAGGTGAATTCATTGACGTAAGGACATTATAACACAGATGACACAAAGCAGCACTGAAACTGTACTTTTATATAAAATAATCTTAGACTCCATTCAGATTTGTTTAGTTACCAAATGTAATGAAAATCATTTTGCCATATATCCTGATTTATAACAAACTCCTGTGACACAGATGGCTGGTTACAGCTGTAATAATTGGACTCTAGAGTATTTTTAACAGTTTGATAGTAACATGATTGTTCTACATAGCAGCAAAAGAACCATGTGTCAAACAATGGTCAAACATTAGAAGAAAGAAAGAAACTCCTGTCACAGGATTGTTCTACACAGCAGCAAAAGAACCATGTGTCAAACAATGGTCAAACATTAGAAGAAAGAAAGAAACTCCTGTCACAGTGGAGGCTAACAGCTCTTCAAACTAGAATCATGATATTATTGAACTGGAAGATATTTATTTAATAAACGATTACTGCAATCTATTTCTTATCAACCTCCACTTCAACACAGTCCCTGCCTTTGAGAAACTCATGATTTTCTGTTGATACAGAATGTTTATCAGTAAATAAAATACAATGGGACAAGTACTATAGTAAAAAAAAAAAAAAATTCAAAGTGCTATGGGAATGCAGAAGTGAGAGTGAAAAACTTCCTTTGCGGATGAGGAAGTCTTCTGGAAATCTGGAACTCTTCATAGACGTTCAGCCTGGGTCTCAAAGGATTAATAGGGAGCTGTCATACAAACAAGGGGAAGGAAAACCATCTGAGCAAGGAGTATAGTGTTTGGAAAGGCATGAGGAGATAGGAAAGATCATCAGGTATTGAGAAAACTGGGAGTAACACAAATTACTGGAGCGCAGAATACTTTGTGAGTAGTTGAGATTTATAAGGGCCATATTACCAAGAACCTTGTGTGCATGCTTGAGTACATTGTTGGTGCTCAATAGATATTGAGTGTTGAATGAAAGAATGAATCTCAAAAACAATGACAACCCTTTAAAGGGTTTTAAGCAGGAAAGTGGCTTGATCAGATTGCATTTTAAATGAATCAGAGAAGAAAGAGTAGAAACTAGGAGAAAACTTAGAAGGCTATGACAGCTCTCCAGGGAAGAAGTCATTTAGTCCCTTCCCTCATTTCTTGGATAAGGAAGCTATGACTCAAAGAGGTGGTTGTTTTGTTTTGTTATTTTTTCTCTTCAGGTCTCAGAGCTCGTTAGTAGCAAAATTGGCCTCTCTCCTTATGTCCAAACATCTTTCCTACTATATTTCTTTACTTATGAATTCATTAGCACTATCTAAGACTTGGTGGTGCAGTGGTTAAGCATTTTGCTGCTAACCAAAACGTCCACAATTTGAATCCACCAGCTGCTCCTCGGAAACTCTGCAGAGCAGTTCTATCAACTCGATGGCAATGGGTTTGGTTTTGTTTTTTGTTTTGGTTTTGGTTTTAAGACTTGAGGTATCTACAAAAGTCTTTCTATTATAATGGCACAATGGTACAATGACGTTGCTAATTGTGGACATATATAATTAGCTAATAATCTTTCAGCAGGAATTTTGCATTTTGCAGGCTTTTTTTTAGGGAGATGTAATTCAATCTTCGGTATATTAAGGATTACTATGACTCGCAAATCAGCAAACCAAAGCAACTTACAGAGGCTGATGAACTAGTTTTCCTTTAATTTGATTATTTAAAAAAAATTAAGAAAGACGTAATTAACCAGATTGTTATTTCACAGAAACATTTATTTCTTTACATTTTTCTAGAGGCAGTCTTGTCTCTCATGAAGTTATCTGGCTATAAAGCCAGTGACTACTTGTCCCATATTCCAACCACTGATTATTTCCATCATCGTATCTCCCACCTCCTTTCCTCTTCTTTCTCACTTTGCATCTGCTTTTTCATTTCCTCCCTGTGTATCAGCTACCAGCTACTAAAAAGGTGGATTAGGTCATTTACCAAATCAGGAGGTTTTCTTTTTTTAATTCAACTCACTTTCTTAGTACACTAAGACTAAAAATAGCTATGATTTTGTCTCAGATACTTAGGTTGGACTTAGATTTTATTATTTGAAGGTTTGGGTAGCAGGAAGGAGGTCTAAGCTTAACATAAAGTCAAGGCAGTAATTTTGAATCTAAGTCTTAAACTCAATTTCTAGTCTAGAGTTTGCTTCTAAATTGATCTATAAACCAGTATACACTAGAAACTATATTTCTCTCTAGACAGTTTGCTTAATTTGAAAATGCATAATAACCTCAACCCTAGACTCTTTCAATATATCTACGGGAAGGCAACAGCAATTGTTCCCTGCCTCTTCTAATCTACTGTTTTTTGTTCTTCTCCTGTCTGGCTCCCTGAACCACTAAGCCTCTACTTCAACTCCTAATTCCTATTTCAAACTGTCTGTACCTTGATAATGCATTTGGACACTCTTCTCTAGTTTACTGATATTCAGTGTGTATTGACCTACCTTCACTTTGTAGATAATTTGGTCCCCACATCCACAGCTGCAGTCTCAGTGGGACCCATGCTGATGGGGCAAACTATGTGGTCTCTCCATTAAGAAAGGAAAATCAGACTGGAGGTTTCTGGCTTGCTTTGATTTCTGAGAATAGCTGGTTTAACTGTGGAGAATACGCAGGCCAGGACAATACTAAAGCCAGAGTAGTTCTGAACTAAAACCAAAAACCCAACCCATTGCCGTGGAGTCAATTCTGACTCATAGTGACACTGTAGGACAGAGTAGAACTGCCCCCATAGGGTTTCCAAGGCTGCAAATGTTTACGGAAGCAGACTGCCTCGTCTTTCTCCCAAGGAGCAGCTGGTGAGTTTTAACTGCTGACGTTTCGGTTAGCAGCCAACAGCTTAACCATGAAATAGGCAATGGTGGAAATTCTCAGGACCCCTGTGAGACAAAACAGAATTCTTTCCCATGTTCCCTTCTCCAATCATTCCCCGCACTGTGCCAGGACCAAACCCAGTCTCTGAAGGATCGTTTCCCACATGCAATTATTGAGTGCATTTTGGATCCATACATCTCACTAGATCACTGTGAGGACCCCACCCATGCAACATAATATCAGAGTTCTACAGCTCAGAAAGTGTAAAGGAACAATTAATGCCCATGGAAGCAGCACCCAAGAAATCAAAAGATTCATTGCATTGCATTGAGCAAATCTCCTGCAAAAGACCTCTTTGAAGTGTTAAAAAGAAAGATGTCACTTTAAGGACAAAGGTGCACCTGACCCAAGCCATGGTGTTTTCAATCGCCTCATATGCAAGTGAAAACTGAACAATAAATAAGGAAGACCAAAGAAGAATTGATGCCTTGGAATTATGATGTTGGTGAAAAATACTGAATATATCACGGACTACCAGAAGAACAAACAAATCTGTTTCTGCAGAAGTGCAACCAGAATGTTCCTTAGAAGCAAGGATGACAAGACTTCGTCTCATGTACTTTGGACTTGTTGCCAGGAGGAGCCAGTCCCTGGAGAAGGACATCATGCTTGGTAGAGGGTCAGCGAAAAAGAGGAAGACCTTCAGTGTGATGTAATGACACAGTGGCTCCAACAACGGGCTCAAGTATAGGAACGATTGTAAGGATGGCGCATGATCGAGCGGTGTTTTGTTCTGTTGTACATGGGTCAGTATGAGTTGGAACTAACTCAACAGCACCTAACAACAACATAGCTTCCTTTGCTGGACCTTTGCCAAATATCCACTTGTAACCTGTATACTCTAAATACTTATTGACAAAAAAATGAAAAATCCTAATGCTCTCACAACTGTGTTTAGTGGACCATCAAAATGGCAGGGGATAAGTTGAATCTTTTATTGATTGATTGATTGATTTAAGCAAAGCTTGGTCCTGAAATATTTAACCAACAGAAATAGTGTTAATAAGATTATCCCATGAAGTAATGTTTAACAAAGTGAGGTTTATTCAAGTCATGTCTTTTGGGAATAAAAGGGGATAGCAATAAACAAACAAAAAACAGGTGGAAAAAATACAACTTGTCCTTCATGTCTCCCCTAATGTCCACATGCTCTACACCTGTCTGTTCCTTTCATCCTGAGGTGATGTTAATCTTCTGTTTATTTTGCTACTATAAATCCAAGCACATGTAGTTCACTCAGAGACTGCCCTCTAAAAGCTGGTCTATGCCTATTCTTTCTCACCTCAAAAAGTAAAGGAAAGAAAGTGTGTGCGTGTGTCCTGTTGGTGGTGTTGGTGGTTAAAAAGCAAATTGGGACTTCCTCTTTTAACAGTTGTCTTTGCCTCTCACACAAGGGAGATCTCATTTTGTATGAGACTGGATACAGCTGAAACCAAGCTATGTCCCGAAGAGAGGATATGATGGCTAAGAAGCCCCCTAAACCAGCCCCTCGCAGGATCTTCCAGGAAAGGTTGAAGCTTACCGCTCTACCCTTGTACTTTGAAGGTTTTTTATTAGTCAAGAGGCCAGAATACCAGGTAAGGATATAGATAATAACGTTAAACCAGAAGCTTCTGTCTTAATACAAAATGTATTTCATGACGATGCAATGTGATAGGGGCCTTTGTGTTTCTGCTGAGGTAAAACTTTCTTCTCTTCTTTGAGCTCAGGAAATATTATTCCAATTCTGCATATTTTAAATATAATATATGGCTTATATATACATATGTATAATAACATAAGATTCTAATATCATTAAGTTACTAATATAAAAAAATTCAGTAATCTAAATTTCCAGAGAATTCATTTAAATATCACAGAAGATTTTGGCTTAAGAGATAACATGCCCTTTATATTGTCTCCACAATTTACTACTGTGCTTCCATGACCATATGTACCATTAAGATAATATTATGATTGAAATTAAACTTTCTGCTCTTATTCTCAGTTGCTCATAAATAATAATTTATATTTATAAAAGTTTACCAATAATAATTCAATACAAAATGGAAAATTCTGTAAAAAATTGTAAAATGATAAAATTTATACGTTTAACACTATGATAGGGATGGCAGAGGCCCAGGCAGTGTTTTGCTCCATTGTGCATAGGGTTGCCAAGAGTTGGGGGCCAACTCAATGGCAACGAACAACAACAATGGCTATTGTTATACAATACTGTTCAGGATAGTTACTTTGCAAAATAACATTTACAGTGCTATCTTGGCTAGTATGTACAGTAAACCACATTAATCTGTCTGCTCTAAGAAAATTCAAAAAGCATTCCATATTTTTAAAATGTCAACAATGAAAACCTATAATTAGATAAAATCAGTTCTTTAAAAATAGTAATTGTTACTAGTTTTGAAATTAGTGAGAGAAATACACATGAATGTGCTTGTTATTAAAGAAAAAAGAAATCATTTATTTGGATTAAGTTTTATGAAATTTTAATATTAATGGAACTAGAAAATTTTAAGTATTTTCAGAAATGCCACATGAAATGCTTAACAATGTCAACAACAATAATAATAATATTTATTTTCTGAGGATTTATTAAGCATATAGTAAAATTGTGTGCATGAAAACATCTGTAATAGCACATTCATATTTCTTATATATATAATTAGAACACTTACTGTTTCAGAGTAAATAACCAAAACCAGCCCACTGCTGTCGAGTCGATTCCGACTCATAGCGACATGGTAATTTTTATTCAGTTTCAGGTGTTAAACGGTGTACTAATAATATTTGTCAGTTACTACTTTGGACACATAATCAGGAAAGACCAATCCCTAGAAAAAGACATTATGTTTGGTAAAGTAGAAAACAAGGGAAACTCTTCATGAGATGGATTGACACAGTGGTTGCAACAATGGGCTCAAATATACCGAACATTGTGAGGATGGTGTCTCACCAGGCAATGTTTTATTCTGTTATAAGTAAGTTCTCCATGAGTTGGAGCCAACTCGACAGCAATTAAAACAACAACATTGGAATATTTTTTGGTTGACCACTCAACTTATTCCTACATGCTTTTAGAGTAAATTCAGTCTTGTCGTCACTAATTAGCCACATTGGTTCACTATGCCAGGAAGGGGGAGCAGGGAAGAGAAAAATTTTAATTTGAAATTTACATTTGATGATTCTTTTAATGTTTTCCAAAGTATTTAAAATAATTGCTTCAGATACCAGCTTCCTTTTAATGTTTAAAAAAGGCATGCCATTGCATGGGTAGCAGGAAGTACAAGAATTTTAGAATGTCAATAAAATGTTCCCCTAACTTTTATAGTTTGTGATCTTGTGCAAGTTACAATCTCCCTTAGACTCAATTTCCTCAATTATAAAATGGAAGAGAATACTACTTGACTCCCAAGGTACAATGCCTGGGATACAGTAGGTGTGCAATCAATTCATTTATTGAAACAATGTTTATTGAGTGTTTCCTATGCACTCAAGCATCACACCCAGCTCTAGAGATACAAACATGAATAAGATCTAAAGACTTTACCTTTAAGAAGCTTACAGTTTAGTAGGAATGATGAACCAATTGCTTCTCTTTAGCTTTCCTTAGAAACCATGCTTTGAAATTGAAGGAATAAACTATAGACATAAATACTTCCGATGAAATTAATATTTGAATTCATAGCAAAGGATCTTTTACTTTCATGGTAGGGAGAAGAAAGTAAGGGGACAAAAATAATACCTACTTATAGATAGTTTCAAGGATTAAAAGGGATAACATATAAAACACCTGGTTCATACTAAAGGTTAGATTCATTCTTGTCCCATTTCGTTGTTTATCACATACTTACCAACATAACCAGTTTTGGGTCCACAAATAATATGGCTCAAAGGAGAGCCACGGTGATAATTAGCTAATTAGAAAATAGAAGATATGAGGAAAAGTTAAGGAAAATAAGGGTTTCCAAGGAAGCAGCAGCAATGTGCCAGGGAAACTTTAAAAGGAAAGTGAACCCAGGATATATGGTAAGGTCATCTTTGAGGCTAATGGGCTAGAAGAAGATGGGAAGTTCTGCAGAATGTTAAATGGGTCTCTGGTGGAGGAATTCAGGACATTTAATTTAGAGAAAATATAACCGATGAGTAACCCTGGTCTGTAAAGGGACGATTACACACTGAGAGATGTTTTTTAGCTGTTTTTTGTGACAGGAGTACTGTTAAGGATCTAAGGAGCTTGCTTCAGGAAAATGTACCAACATAAACCATTTAGCATGCAATTTGAGAAGGTCCCTGGATCCCAGGTCAAGGATGTATGCAAAGGACATCATTTTCACTGAAAAGATAATATAAGAAGAGTTACTTAAACCATAGCAGTAGAATTTTGGATTGAGAAGGAAAATTTATTTGATAATAGAAGCTATTAAATGCCACAATGTGTTAACAAAGTCACTACAGTTCTTAAAAATAAGGAAAATTCTCATAATTCTGAAACTGTTTTAAAACAAGGGAGCATTTGGGGCGGGTGGCTTCTCACAGTTCCTTCAGTCTGTGATGTGCTAAAGTTAAAAATAATGTGTCTGCTGTTGTCGTTAAGTGCTGTCAAGTTGGTTCCGACTCATAGCGACCCTATGCACCACAGAATGAAACACTGTCTGGTCCTGCGCCATGCTCACAATTGTTGTTATTCTTGAGCCCATTGTTGCAGCCACTGTGTCAATGCATCTCGTTGAGGGTCTTCCTCTTTTTCGCTGACCCTATACTTTACCAGGCATGATGTCCTTCTCCAGGGACTGATCCCTCCTGACAACATGTCCAAAGTCTGTAAGATGTAGTCTTACCATCATTCCTTCCTTCTAAGGAGCACTCTGGTTGTACCTCTTCCAAGACACATTTATTCATTCTTCTGGCAGTCCATGGTATATTCAATATTCTTCACCAACACCACAATTCAAAGGTGTCAATTCTTCTTCTGTCTTCCTTATTCATTGTCCAGCTTTCGCGTGCATATGATGCGATTGAAAACAACCATAGCTTGGGTCGGGCTCATCTTAGTCTTCAGGGTGACATCTTTGCTTTTCAACACTTTAAAGAGGTCTTTTGTAGCATATTTGCCCAATGCAATGCGTCTTTTGATTTCCTGACTGCTGCTTCCATGAGTGTTGATTGTGGATCCAAGGACAATGAAATCCTTGACACCTTCAATCTTTTCTCCGTTTATCATGATGTTGCTTATTGGTCCAGTTGTAAGGATTTTTGTTTTCTTTATGTTGAGGTGTAATCCATACTGAAGGCTGTGGTCATTGATCTTCACCAGTAAGTGCTTCAAGTCCTCTTCACTTTCAGCAGGCAAAGTTGTGTCACCTGCATAACAGGTTGTTAATGCATCTTCCTCCAATCCTGATGCTCCTTTTTTCTTTATATAGTACAGCTTCTCAGATTATTTGCTCAGCATACAGACTGAATAGGTATGGTGAAAGGATGCAACCCTGGCACACACCTTTCCTGACTTTAAACCACGCAGTATCCCCTTGTTCTGTCTGAACAACTGCCTCTTGATCTGTGTACAGGTTCCTCATGGGCACAATTAAGTGTTCTGGAATTCCCATTCTTCGCAATATTATCCACAATTTGTTATGATCCACACAATCGAATGCCTTTGCATAGTCAATAAAACAGAGGTAAACATCTTTCTGGTATTCTCTGCTTTCAGCCAGGATCCATCTGACATCAGCTATGATATTGCTGGTTCTGAGCCCTCTTCTGAATCTGGCCTGAATTTCTGGCAGTTCCCTGTCAACATACTGCTGCAGACTCTTTTGAATGACCTTCAGCAAAATTTTGCTTGCCTGTGAGATTAATGATATTGCTCAATAATTTCCACTTTCGGTTGGATCACCTTTCTTGGGAATAGGCATAAATACGGATATATTCCAGTCAATTGGCCAGGTAGCTCTCTTCCAAATTTCTTAGCATAGATGAGTGAGCACTTCCAGCACTGCATCCATTTGTTGAAACATCTCAATTGATATTCTGTCAATTCCTTGTGCCTTGTTTTTCGCCAATGCTCTCAGTGTAGCTTGGGCTTCTTCCTTCAGTACCATCGGTTCCTGATCGTCTGCTACCTCTTGAAATGGTTGAACGTCAACCAGTTCTTTCTGGTATAATGACTCTGTGTATTCCTTCCATCTTCTTTTGATGCTTCCTGCATTGTTTAATATTTTCGCCATAGAATCCTTCACTATTGCAACTCAAGGCTTGAATTTTTTCTTCAGTTCTTTCAGCTTGAGGAATGCCGAGCGTGTTCTTCCCTTTTGGTTTTCTATCTCAGATCTTTGCACATGTCATCAGAATACTTTACTTTGTCTTCTCGAGCCTCCCTTTGAAACCTTCTGTTCAATTCTTTTACTTCATTATTTCTTCTTTTTGCTTTAGCTACTCAACATTCAAGAGCAAGTGTCAGAGTCTCTTCTGACACCCATTTTGGTCTTTCCTTTCTTTCCTGTCTTTTTATTGACCTCTTGCTTTCCTCATGTATGATGTCCTTCCACAACTCATCTGGTCTTTGGTCATTAGTATT